CGCTTCTCTTTCCCGGAGCTGGAGGATGATGTCATCTACGACGACGTTCCCGACGAGGGCCCGGACCCCGAAGCTGATGGTACTGACCAGCCCCCCCCCAAACGGCCCTACCTGAAGAGCCCCACCCTGTTATTGGGATCAGCCCTCCCCCAAATGGCCCCACCCCAAACGGCCACACCCCGTTATTGGGATTGGCCCCATTCCATTATTGGGACCGCCCCCACCCCAACCAGCTCTGTCCCAAACGGTCCCACCCTGAACAGCCCCACCCTGAACGGCCCCATCCCGTTATTGGGATCAGCCCCACCCTGAATGGCCCCACCCTGAACGGCCCCATCCCGAATGGCCCCACCCCAAACAGACTCACCCCACTGTTACTGGGATTGGCCCCATCCCGCTGTTATTGGGATTGGCCCCACCCTGCTGTTCCAGGGAAATCCATCCCAAATTCCAGCCCCAGGGAATTCCCAGTCTCCGGAAGGCTGTAGAGGGGAATAACCTGGGAAACTTTAGAGTTTGGGAGGGATGGAAGGGGGATCTGCCAGGAATATTTTGGGATTTGGGAGGGATGGATCCCAGGAAACTGACAGGAGAATTCTGGGGTTTGGGAGTGATGAATCCTGGGAAAACTCTTGGGAAAACTTTGAGATTTGGGATGGATGGATGAGAATAACTCTCATAGGGGAATGGTTCTTCCTGGATGGAAAACCTCTGGAATTTCCGTCTGGAAAAGACGGGAAATTCCCTTCCCGCTGGAAAAGCTCTGGAATTCCAGGCTGGAAAGGAGGGAATTGCCCCACCCCTCTGGCCAGTCCCGGGATTTCCCCGCCCCTCTAGCCAATCCCRGGATTTTTGCCCCTCCCAGCCGGACATTCCCGGGATTTTCCCCACTCCCCTGCCCAATCCTGGGATATTTTCCCTGCCCATTCCCGGGATTTTTACCCCCCTGGCCATTCCCGGTTTCCTGGCAGCCCCGGAGCAGCGGCGGATCCTGGCGGAGCTGCAGCGGGGGGAGGGGCCGCGCCTGGCGGAGGATCTGGGCTGGAGCTCCAGCGAGTTCGAGAGCTACAGCGACGGCGACTCCGGGGAGGAGACACGGCCGGAGGCGGAGCCGCCCAAACAGCGCGCGGCCTTCCAGCCCAAGGTATCCATCCGTCCGTCTGTCCGAATGTCCATCCATCCATCCTTCTGTCTGTCTGTCC